GCGTAGACACGCCATGCACGCCGTGTACGGTAACTGTACGCTGCCGTCGTCGTTGTTACAGTGGTTCCCCGAGGTTAGCCACCACTGCCCCAACACACCCATCATCCTCGTCGGCACGAAGCTCGACCTGCGGGAGGAGAAGGACACCATCGAGAAACTAAAGGAGAAGAAGCTGGCTCCGATCACGTATCCACAAGGTAGGGGGCGCCACGATGCAGGGGGGCGCCACGAGGCAGGGGGCGCCACGAGGCAGGGGGTTTGTGGCAGGGGGCGCCACGAGGCAGGGGTGCCACGATGCAGGGGGCGCCACGAGGAAGGGGGCGCCACGAGGCAAGGGAACCACGAGGCAGGGGCCGTCCTCAGCGGAGGAGAAAGTGTATAATTTGTGATGATAATGTGTGATAATGTGTGATCGAATCGATGTATATATATATAATGATTATTATATCACATTTCGGATGATGTATTAATTCATTGATCAATCTATTGATTGATATATTGACAAGGTAGGGGGCACCACGAGGTAGGAGCCATCCTCAGCGGAGGAGCCGATCGATCGATGTGTATATAATGATTATTGTATCGTGTGTTGGATGATGTATTAATTCATTGATCAATCTATTGATTAATATATCCTCAAGGGGACACCCAAAGGCAGGGGCCGGCCGCTAGAGTCAGTCGATCGATTGATCGATCTATTGGTTAATATGTCCACAAGAGGGCGCCCCGAGGCAAGTGTCTTTGCCGCTAAAATCGTCAAGTTGTCGTGCATCATTGCGACCATTAGTGTCTCTCGTCGCCCGCAGGTGGCGCCTACCTCTTCCTCGTCGTCCGTTATTGCAGGTCTGGCGATGGCTAAGGAAATCGGATCGGTGAAGTAGCTCGAGTGTTCTCGTTAGTGTCTCTCGTCGCCCGCAGGTGGCGCCTACCTCCTCGTCCGACCATTAGTGTCTCTCGTCGCCCGCAGGTGGCGCTAACCTCCTCCTCCTCGTCCGTTATTGCAGGTCTGGCGATGGCTAAGGAGATCGGATCGGTGAAGTACCTCGAGTGTTCGGCGCTCACGCAGAAGGGACTGAAGACGGTGTTCGACGAGGCGATCCGAGCTGTGCTCTGCCCGCGCCCCAAGCCCAAGAAGACGAAGAAATGCTCGTTACTCTAACCGACCACCAGGTGTCGCCGCCGTCATCAAGCGTCGGAGCGGAGCGTCGGGGGAATGGGGGAGGGGCGACGGCAGAGTCGTTCGTGTTTTGGCCAGTGCGCGGAGGGTTTACGGGCTGCACGACGACGGTCGTCGCGGAGACGTGGTCGTTGCGGCGACGGACGTCGCGGAGACGCGGTCATTGTGGCAGCAGTCGTCGTGGAGACACGGTCATTGCGGCGGCGGTCGTCGCGGTGACGCGGTCATTGCGGCAGCGGTCGTCGTGGAGACACGGTCATTGCGGCGGCGGTCGTCGCGGAGACGCGGTCATTGTGGCGACGGTCGTCGTGGCGACGCGGTCGTCGTGGAGACGCGGTCGTCACGGAGACGCGGTCGTCGTGGCGATGGTAACATTAAGAAATCTGTGGCCGCTCTCAATGAGACATGCTTGAAATCGTTCATCTAGCGAAAGAGTCACGTTGTTTGCCGTCCGTCGATCGTCCAACGTTTTCCACTCGCTCTCCCTATCTGTATCTCTATCTCTCTCTCTCCTCCCTCTCTCTCTCCCCCCTCTCCCTTCTCTTCTCTCTTTCTCTCTCTCGCTCTCGGTGAAAGAACCCGCATCGCACGGTCGCTCCGTCCGTCAGGCTCCGAAAATATTCCTCCGTCGTCTCTCGCGCGCGCGCGTTTTTGATTTCTGTAATTGTCGCTAGGGGGCGCTGCAGTTTGTTCATCGCCGAGTCGTCCTCCATGTGTCGTATTTTTAACTTGCGGATCTTCTGCCCGGGATAATTCATAATTAATTTAACGACGTGGTCTAACGACGCGATGTGCTACCATCGCGAGAACTTCCTCCTTCTCCTCCTCCTCCTCCGTACCTTATCTCCGTACTGTAAATAGATTTGTACGCGCGGTCGGGCGGTAAAAAAAGAAGTAAAGGGAAGAAAGAGGGAGAGGCTCTCGTTTTTGGCGGTCGGTCGATCGTAGGTACTAGGCTAGTGTAAATACAACGATCCCTCGCCCCGCCCCCGCGCACGCCATCACTCGCCCCTCGATGCTTCTCTCTCTCGGACACCAGGGCGGCGCCACGCGTGCTTGCGTCTTGCGGCTGCCGGGGAAAAGTCGGCGTTTCCTCCGGAAACGAGGAAAAAAGGGAAACGGGAGGTTTTCTCGAGGGGCGATCGACGCGCGGCGCGGGAAACAGATATATGTTATGCTTGTTGTGCGTCTGAGATGTTCAGATGAGAGAATTTTAACTCGTTATTGCTGCTGTTGCTGCTGCTGCTGCTATGTTGTTTTTCTGTTATAGAGCGCGCCAGGGGTGGGGGGGGGAAGCAGAAGCG